CAATATACAGATGATGTATCATAGAATTGTACACTTGAAACATATATAATTTTATTGACCAATGTCATCCCAATAAATTTAATTAAAAATGATATGTGTCCCTTTACCCTGAGTCATTTTTCTACCATTTTTTCCCCCCACGGAGAATTTCACAATGTGTTTATGTCCCTTGTTTTGACAGGTAAAATCAGCAGTCTCTTTCTTCTGTCCCAAACCTGCCTTTCACACACTGGTACCATTAGCTAAAAGTAACCCCAAACTTTTCCCCTTACCCCCTGGAAATATTTAAAATTGTCTCCCTCAAGTGTTTATGAATAAATCCATATCCTATCTAGACTTCTCTGTCCCTGACCTGGTTAACATGGTAGATGGTTAACATATCATGGCCTTTTTTCACCCTTTCCCACTCAGTATTTACTAAAGAAGCATCAGCATTGGATTCAAAATGGAAATATAATTGAGTTTTTGCTGCTGAAATGAGTCTATGCCAATTGTTACAAAGGCAGACCTGTGACCAAAGGAAACGACATGTTAACCAATGTCTGTAAATTAGGCAGCAAAACCATACACTTTCTCCTCTCCTGGCAGCTAATATTTTTAAATTGCTGAATACCCAATAATGATGCAAGATCTTCAGAAGCAATTGGCTATGCTTTGTTTTGCTCTGCTTTTGAATGACATAACTTACATACAATAAAATGGAAAAGATCTTAAATGCTCAGTTTCATGAATTTTGACAATGGTATGCACCTATGTAACTGTCATCCCCATATAAATTATGGATTTTCAACACTCCCAGAGAGATTCCTTCTGCCTTTTCCTGTCAAATCTCCTCCCACCCCCAAGGCAACTTCCTGACCTGTGTCATCATAGTATAGTTTTGTGCCTTCTTATGCTTCATATAAGTGAAATCATCATACAATATCCATTTTTGGTCTGGATTCTTTAGCTTAGCATAATGTTTTGAGATTCATCCATGTTATTGAGTATACCATAGTTGCTTTGCTAAGTAGTCCATTGTATAAATGCACTAAATTTGTCTATTCGTCCATTGGCTTGTTTCCAGTTTGTGGCTATTATAAATGTGCTATTATGAACATTCTTGTACAAATCTTTGTAGGAACATATGCTTTCATTTATATGAGGCAACTAGTAGTAGAATACCTGAGTATATTTAATTTTATAAGAAGTCACCAAATGCTTCTCAAAAATGGTTGCACTTAGCTATGTTTCTAGTGGAAAAAAATTTCTTATTTTTCCTAGTTTACATTTAATATTCTGGAGCAACAACTCAGAATATGTATTGTCTGAAATAATCCATACTTCTTCCAAAGTTCCCTGACAACTAGTTAACAGAGGAATAGCAGAGTAGTTTTTGGAGCTCTTATCGTCTGTCAAACAGTGAAGGTTTTATTATAAATTCTCACATATTTTTGAAGGTCAACAGAGAGTTGAGACTTCTCTTCTTATAGCCCTACCTTGAAAAACATTCCTAGCACAAAAAAATAAAATGTGAGTTAAAACATATTTAAAAATTAAAAAAAAATACATAGTTGAACTGATAAGAAAACTTCTCAAAGGGGAAAAATGACTAAAAATTATAAATCCAGATGGGTAAGCAACAGTGAACAAATTGGTCACTTCAGGGGCATCTACCAATTCCTGGTGGCCTAGAGTCTCAGTGTCATGGGGCCATACGTGGGGGACAGGGACACTAAAAGGTGACTGAAAGGATTCTTTCCAGTTTTGGGTTATTATAAATAAAAAAGCTGCCATGAAAATTCATTTACAGATATTTGTGTGAACATATGTTTTTATTTCTCTTGTGTAAATTCCTAGGAGTAGAATTGTTGGGCGATATGCTAAGTGTATATTTAACTTAAAGGAAATGAAAACCTGTTTTCCAAAGTGGTTGGACTATTGTACAGTACCATCATGTATGAGCATTATAGTTCATAGCAGCATTATTCAGAACAGCAAAAAATAGAACACCCAAATGTTCACAGTCAGAGAATGAATAAATTGTGGTACATCCTTCAAATGAATCCCACAAATAATTAACTACAGCAACATGACTAAGACATATTGAGCAGAAAAAGCAAGTAATAGATGAAAACATATAGCATATTCCATATATATGTATATATTTCTAAAATATGCTAAAAAGCAATGTTATTTGGAATATATAAATTTTTGAAAGAAGGTAAAGCAAAGGGGTGGTACACACAAAATTAATGAGAGTGGTCAACCTCTGGGAAAGAAGTAGTGTGTAGGGATGGGAAGGTTAGGGTGCCTAAAAGATGTTGGTAATATCCTGTTTCTTAATCTGTGTGATAGATACATGGTATTTATTTTTATTATTATTTAACTGGCACAATACATTTTATATATGCTTATATATGATTTATTATAATAAAAGTTAAAAAAGAAAATAACTTTCATAATTTCACCAGGATGTGCCAAAAAAGAAAATGAAGATCGTCCATGTTTCTTTAAAAAGAAAAAATAACTGATCTGGGCATTTGTCCTATACTGTAATGTGTTTTCCTAATACTATTTAGCATTCTGTATACTTCCTCTGAGAGATGGCAGTCCTAGTAGTGGAGTAATTCTGGCATGCAGTTCTATCTCTGGGAGTGAGAATTTAGATTCCTGGTTCCCAGCAATATTAATGGCAGTAGTTAAAATCGTAAATCCTTGTTTATGGTGATGAAATTATAGCCCATCTGATAACAAAAATGATTGAGTAGAATTCATTTATTTCTTAAAATTATATCAGGGAAGGATATGTCCTCTACTTATTTTCCAACTGAATTGTTTAAACCCGAGGTTTAAAAAACATCATAAAAATGACCTCATACCCAAATGTAAATTCTAAGAAGCCCAGTTGGTCACTTATTGAATAAGACTGCACTATTGACAGTAAAATTTCTCTATCTCCCTTCTAGGTCATAGCATAAAACTATAAATTCAAAAAGTTGAAAATTTCACGAGTTGAAAAATTCCAGTGAGGAAAGTGGAAAGATGGCAAGAAATAAGTTTTTCGTGTATTTTGCTAACATAAAAAAAGCTAGGGTTCTATCAGCTAGTGCATTTCTATCTCCCTCCTGGGACATTGTTATTGAAGACAATGTTTTAAAAAATTATTTACTATTTGATTACATCTTTGTTTATAAATAAATTATAAAATTGTGTATTTGAGTAAATTATCCCTCCCCCAAAAAACTTTATAGCAACTCAAGTATGAAATGCGTTTGTAGCTGGAAATAAAATGTGAATTATCACGGAAGCAATTTCAAATGCAGAAGGGAATGAGCCTTTAACTTATTACATAATAAAAATATCATCATCAGTAATGAAACACTTATGAATTAATATTAAAGTACAAATTCCAGAAGCAAAAGAAATTTTTAATATTAATCAATAGCTTCATTTTCTTTTAAGTTAGAATCAAGATGTATGACTAGAAGTAATCATTCTAAAAAAATGGAGTAATTCTTCTATTGTACTCCATATTATTTAGAAAATTTAAAAAATATAGTATTTTGCCCTATATGATTATATGAAATATAGGTAAAGACATATAATGGTGGAATTGAGCATGTTATTTCTTTTCTTATACTGGCAAATGAGAGTCAGATGGGAATATCTGAAAGAGGGGTTACCTATTCCTTAGTTGAGCACTACTGCTAAGCTAAGTAGGGATTTCTGGTTTATATATAGTGATCATTAATTACTTGTACGAATTAAATCATAGACAATTCTATCCTAAATGAAGGATGCATTTTTAATTTTTACTTTGGAACATGGGTCTGAATTTTTAATAATATACCTTTGTACAAATTTCAGAAGTGTTTTCATATGTACTATACCACTTGATGCTACTATAACCCCATGAGGTTAGCAGAATGTAGAGTTATTATCTCTATTTTGCTGATGAGAAATGAGACTCATGGAGATTAAATTGTTCGAGTATCTTGGCTAATGACAGGTACAGCACTAAGTCTTTCTGTCTTTTCTTTTGAAGTTGACGTTTTTTTCTATTTATACCACCATTTCCATGTCAGATGTTTGTCTTCAGACAAAAATACAAATTATGTCATCCTGTTAAGTTTCGTCTTTGGAGGTTCAGGCAGGTTGACTAATGGCCACCCAAACACTGGTGATTAGGTGTTAAAACCTAGAACCTGTGAATGCTACCTTATAAGGAAAAAGGGTCTTTACAGATGAGACTAAGTTAAGGATCTTGAGATGGGGAGATTGTCCTGCATTATCCAAGTGAACCCCAATCCAACCATCTGTCCTTATAAGAGAGAGGCACAGGGAGACTTGACCCCGACAGAAGAGTAGAAGACACACAGAGAAGGCAATGCGACCACACAGGCTGAGTTTGAAGTGATACAGCCGCAAGCCAAGGAATGCCAGCAGCCACCAAAAGCTGGAAGAGGGGCAAGGGACAGATTCTTCTCTAGCACCTTTAGGGGAGTGTGGCCTTGTAGATACCGAGATTTCAGACCAGTATAACCGGTGTTGAACTTCTGGCCTTTAGAACTGTAAGAGAATGAATTTCTTATTTTAAGGCACCCAGGTTGTGGTAACTTGTTACACAGCCCTTGGAAACTAATGGAGATACTATACTGTTCATGTCTTCCATTCTCTGTACAACTCCATGCAGTTGACTTGAACCTCCAGCGTAGAACAGATGAATTCAGAGGAACCTGAGGCTTGTCCATTAGAACTTTCCCAGAAGAGAGAATGGTTAAAATGCTAGGGTTTCCAAGCACTTTGTTACAAGGACTGTTTGCTGAAAATTAATAGGGAATGTTGATAAACTTTAAAAAGAAGTATTTAAATGGAGTAGCTATTGTTAGTTCATGTAAAAACAACATCTTGTCACTGATAAGCTGAAATGTACTGAGAAAAACTGGGAGCTATTATTGAGTATTTATTTGAAAAATTCAAACTTTCACAGTAAAGTAAGTTTTTGTTTTCCTTTATAGGAAACATGTTGGAGCTATCCTGTCTGGAAGTGTGCTTACAACCTGATCTTACCTATTCATTCTCTTCCTTAAATTTTTCTGTTGTGACTTTCCTGCAACCAGTAAGGGAAACTGAAACTATGATGGGAATTTTTCTAAATCACTCCAACTTTCAAAACTTCACCAGGATATGCCCTGACATCACAAGTGAATTTCAAATGTGCTCCTCGTGTTTGGTTTGTGAGTCCAAAGGAAACATGGATTTTATTTCTCAGGAACAAACATCAAAAGGTAAATTCAAAGGGAAAGTGAGAATGAAATGTATCAAGGATAGATGACCATATTCTGTTAAAAAAGGGTATTAATAATATATTCAAATTTTAAATCCCTGGAGTCGCTCTTGATGACTGACTTGAAGGGCTTTGAGATATTAATTGTTCTTGGTTTACTTTGATTGATCAAAAACAAAATATCTATTCAAAATATCGATGCCACTGTAATTCACAAAGATTTGATGGTTAAAGAATTATTTAACATGCTTTTTTCAAAGATACTGAATTTAAATAAATGGACTTTAAAATGTGAATTAAAAATTCTAAATAAGCTTGTAGGTTCTCATAGTAAAAAAATCACACTTTGATTCTCCAAGGAGTCATTGAATTCTTGATACATTTATAGCTATTCCTGCTTAACATTTATCCACTATATATGAGCTGTCTTTTTACTTGTCTAACTATCCAGTGAGCCTGTTGATGGCAAGGTCTTTGTCTTTGTTCACTAGTGTATTTCTATATCTTAGCATAATGCCTGACATTTGGCACTCAATAAGTATTTGTTTAATGAATGAATGAACAAATAAAAAATAACTACATATTACCTGTAGTGTATAATTGAATCTTACATTTATTATGTGATCAATATATATTATTTAGTTACATTGTATTAATTTGAATCATTGAGAAATTAAGTAATTCACTTATAATCACAAAATATATTGGTTGCCTGAAGCCTAAGCATAAAAATGATTGCTTATGCCGATTTATTTTTGTCACTGATAAGCTGAAATGTACTGAAAAAAAGGCATAAGCAAGATTGCCTTTTATTTGTTTTATATTGGCATTTTCCCCATTCTTTAGCAATGGGAACAAGGAGGGGAGGATGAGAGGACATCTGTAATAATGCCAACAACAAAAAATTGGGAGCAAGATTTCTTGTCATTGACTTTTGATAAAGTATAATAGACATGTCTTCTTCTGAGTTCTTATTCAAGTAGTGCTGTAACTATTGCAGGGCTTTGGGTCAAATCACCGGAAAGCAAAATGGGGAAATACCTTAAGATAGCAAAGAACTAGAAAGTGTTTCAAGGGCTGGCATTTCACAGGTGCTACTTCTCTGTCTCTTTGAAAAGTGAAAACAGTGTTTTCTTAAATAATAGGTGTTTATTGCCTGTAACATCATTATATTTAAAATCATTTTTCTTGAGATATTAAAAAAGAAAGAAAGAAAAAGATCCCAATTGAGGGCCATTTTATAAGTACCTGGCTCAGGACTCCTCAAAACTGTTGAGGTCATCAAAAATAAGAAAAGTTTAAGAAACTGTCAATCAAGAGGAGCCTAAGGAGATATAATGAGTAAATGTGAATAGGTACCCTGAATGGAATCCTGGAGTGAAAAATACGACATTAGGTAAAAAAACAAGAAACCCTGAATAAAGTATGGACTTTAGTCAATAATAATGTATCAATATTGGCTCAATAATTGTGACAAATGTTCCTGTGAATGTAAAATGTTAATAATAGGGGAAAGTTGGTATGGAGTATATATGAACTCCATGTATTGTCTTCACAACTTTTCTGTAAGTCTAAAACTATTCTAAAATAGTTATGTTCAAATTAATTCATTAAAATAAAGTGAGGCCCTCTGGCTTGGAAGGAAATAAAAAAAAAAAGAAAGTGAAAACAGTGCATTGATAAGTTCTCTTAGTTACTATAGCTGTGTAATAAATCACCCCAAAACAGTGGCTTAAAAAAACAGCAATCATTTCTTTCCTTCCTCCCTTCCTTCCCTTCCTTCCTTCCTTCCTTCCCTTCCTTCCTTCCTTGCTTCCTTCCTTCCTTCCTTCCTTCCTTATCTTTTCTCTTCTCTTCTCTTCTCCTTCTCTTCCTCCTCCTTCTTCCTCTTCTTCTTCTTGGTGGGTCAGGGATTCAGAATGGGCATAACTGGGCATTTCTGGCTGGGAGCATTTCATACTGTTGGGTGAGACAGTGGTGAGCTAAAGCAGAGGGGCTGAGCAGCTAGAGACAGGTGGGCATTTCTCTTCAGGTTTTTTCTCAGAATTTTCTATGTGGTCTTTCCATGTGGGCTACTTTGGGCTTCCTCACAGCATGATGACTCTAAGTTGTTGAACTGGTATATAGTGGCTCAAGGCACCAATATTGTATTCCAGAGAACAATGTAGATATTGCTTCATCTTTTATGGCTTCACCATGAAGAGTCTCTTTTTCTGAATTTGGTTGATTACACTTATCACAAACCCTCCCACCCAGATTCAAGGTATTAGACTCTACCTATCTATGGTGCAGTGGCAAAATTTTAAGTTAACATGTATGCTATGGGTTGAATTATATTGAAGTCCTATCCCCCAGTATTTCAGAATGTGATATTTGAAAATAGGGTTGTTGCAGATGTAATTAGTTAAGATGAGGTCAATAGGATGGGTTAGGGTCCAATATGACTGGTGTCCTTATAAGAAGGGGAAATGCGGACACAGACAAGCACACAGATAGAGCGCCGTGTGAAAATAAAGGCAGCGATTGGGGTGATGCTTCCACAAGCCACGCAATGCCGAGATTGCCAGCAACCCCAGAAGCCTGGAGAGGGGCCTGGCGCAGATCGTACCCAGAGAGCCCTCAGAGAGAAGCAGCTTGGCAACACCTTCATCTTGAAAGCCTAGCGGCCTCGCCTCTAAAATTGTGAGACAATAAATTTCTGTTCCTTAAGTCACCCAGTTTATGGTGCTCTGTGATGCAGCCCTAGCAAACTAGTGTAATGTGGGATGAGAAATATTGTCGTGACAATTTTGAAAAATAAAATCTGTTCCACAAGTTGTCAGAGAAATATCTGTGTTTTCTTTGAGGTGCTCCGATTCTGTTTCAATCTTACTGTCCCTTGGGTTTCACAATCTTAAACAAATTTAGTGCAGGTAACTTTATATATATATATATAAAGAGAGAGAGAGAGAGAGAGAGAGAGAGAGAGAGAGATTTAGTTTTAAATTGTTTTCTTACTAGGTATTACTATTTTGTGAATAACATTTTTCTAATCTCTTTCTAGTTCTTATCATGAGAGGATCCATGGAAGTGAAGGCAAATGATCTTTCACCTTGTCGACATTTTAACTTCACTGTAGCTCCTGCAGTTGACCACTCGGAGGAATATAACATTACCTGTCATCTAAGAACAGGCACCAGAAGCTCAGCAATGATGGAGGAAGAGCCAACCACGGAAAAGTCTATAGACCATACTTGTGGAATTATGAATCACTCGAATAATTGTGTGCACATTTCTTTGCACCTTGAAATGGATGTAAAAAGTAAGTCTTAAAGGAAATTAGAGGGAAAAGAGAAATTATATAAGGGCTATCACATTAACTTCACTGAAAGTAAAATCATTGGAGAAGGATTTTATTGATGAAATAATATGGCTAGAAAAATGCTGGCCCTTTTATCTGTTTTTTTTTTCTTTTTCTTTTTTCAAAATGTGCTCTTTATGGGGCCCAACCCTACCTGGAGGCAGAAGAAGCATCTATGGGTGGTGACTGGTACATAGTGGCTCAAGGCCTAGAAAAGATGTTGTACATGCCTATTAGCTGTGCTTGAAGTAATACTACCTCACTTGGGTATGAAAGGGTGAGGTTTATTTTAAAATGTAAATATCCATGTACATTGTGATATGCTATTAACATCTTACTTTGAATTGATTTAACATGTCCTCTTAGAGCTGTGAACCAGGTCTGCATTAAATGGGATTCTTTCTCTTTATTGATTAAGGTATTACATATGTGTCCTTATCCCTCCATCCCCGCCCCCTCATGCCCTCACCCCCAGGTGTCTGTGTCCATTGGTTAGGCTTCTATGCATGCATACAAGTCCTTTACTTGATCTCTCCCCATTACCATAGCTAAATGGGGTTCTTGATGTGAAGCCGAGAAGATAGGCAGGATAAAGATTAAGCACTTTGGTTCCCTGGAGGAGTTGGGGGAATGTAGGAGCCCAAAGACAAAACTTACATATATCTTAGTTCTGCTTAAGGCTGATTAACTTCCTACCCACCCTCTTCTGATTGACCACAATTGATCCTTTTACTAAGCATTGTGCCCTCACTTAGCCACAAAACCTACTCTTGAAGAGCATTTTATGATCTAACCATTTAATGAGTGCCTGCTGTATGCCAAGCAGTGTTCCAGGCATTGGGGACACAAAGAGAGATGAATGCAAAGCAATCAAGGAGGTCATTCAGGTGCTCTGCTAGAGCAATCTTCTGTGCTTTTTGATGTTCCAGATGCCTGGGAGCCTTTTAGGTGACTTTGGAATGGTTTTCTAAAACGTTAGTTATTTTTGAGGCAACTATTTAAAAAATCTTATTTTTATTTTAAAGCAAACACAAATATATACTATGTATGCATTTTGAAAAGAAAATACACGACTTCAGAGAATTTTCTCCTGTGAGTTAGTTTGCCCAGGACCCTACAGCTTCTGCAGTTAGTGCGTATTTCGGTGTGTGTGTGTGTGTGTGTGTGTGTGTGTGTGGTGGGGTGGGGGTGGCATGGGAGAGGGCATGAGAAAGTCCGTTCCGTTCCTTCTGGTTCAGGTGTGAGGTTGGAAGGTAAGTTTTGGAAAGGCTGCATAGGAAAGGTGACTGTGATAAAATCTGAAAGATAAGGAGGTTTGGATTATAGATTCCAAAACATTTATTTCAATGTACATTTATGTATCCATGTAATTACTTGATGTTCTAAAACATAAAGGAAAAATAAGCATTTCTATTATGATTTTAAGAGGATTTATTTTTGTGTTAATGGAAAAATCCACAAATCTAGTCAGAGTGAAATGATAGTTAATTTTTTGGGGGGCCTATAATTCAGAAAGATTATAGGGGTGCATACATAGGTAGTTTTATATTCTGGAAAAACGATATCCATTTTGCCATGTGTAGAAGATTAAAAAATTATTCGTATTTTACTCTGCTGTGCAAAGACTAATGTGATCTTCTTTAAAAGCCCCATCCATCAGGGAATGAAACGAAATTTAGTCCAATTTGGTAAATTTACTCTGAAACAATAATTTAAGCCGTCTCTTTAGATTTTTTTCAGATTCTTGTTCGTTTCCCCTTGGCTCGCTCCCAGGTGGCTGCAGGGATGCAGGGAAGGTGTGCGGCATGGGATGTGGGGAAACACATTCCTCTGTGTTCACACTGATGCTATGTTCACACTGGTGGGTGGGCTGGCTGGCTTGGCCTCAACTGTGCACATTCTGCTCTTGCAATATAACTTTGGTGAATGCATGGTTCTTTTTTTTTGGCTTGACCACTACCCAGTGACACCTTGGTGGTTGGACCCATCTTGGCTTTTGCTGGCACTGACAATCTTCTATTCCTTTTTTTTAAAAGAGAGGAAGGGAGAGGGAGAGAGAGAGATAGAAACATCAGTGATAGAGAATCATTGATTGCCTGCCTTCTGCATGCCCCCTACTGGGTATCAAGCCCACAGCCTGGGCAGGTGTCCTGACTAGGAATCAAACCATGACCTCTTGGTTCATAGGTTGGCGCTCAACCACTGAGCCAGGCCGGCTGGGCTGACTACATACTTTTATCTTGCCGAGTGAGAAATGCAAGTTTGGCAGCTAACTATCATGGAATGATACTGGGGAGGCCAAGTGCTATGTCATCCCAGTCAGCTATGGCTTTTCTTCATCTAGCTTCTTCTCTAAATACATGTTGACTGCTTATGTGATGTACACCTGCCCATGGAGTGGGGGTCCTGTGAAAGGGATACCCAGATCATGAGCACCACAAGGGCAGTCATCCAAGGGTATATGCAAGTTATATATCTTGCTAAGTTGAATAAGTACTAGCTATGTTTTGTGTGCAAGGAAGAGGGTCCAGAGGATGGCTTAGAAAGTCAGTAGACAGTTGTGTCTTGGACATGATGAGGTTGTCATCGTTTAAGTCACTGATTCCTGCGTCGGCTGGCCAGTGTGTCTCTATGGGACCAAAGGAGACCGTGCTAAACTATTGCTGGATGGTGACTGTCCTCCCCGTGTGGCTTCACTGTCATTTGAATGACCAAGTGTTTACCTGTATCTTCATTCAGTTTAGGCTGGGATAACTGCATGTTTAATTAATGCACGTACTTGATCTGATCATCGCCTTGAGAGCCCTTGTGAAAAGGGGAGTCTGATTATTCATCTGCCCTGGCTGCTTTCACCTCCTGTGCCTCAGCCCAGCCCTTTCTCTTTGTCTGTCGTTACCTTTCGTCCTCATCCTCCTCACACTCAATGCATCTTTGTTAATTTCAGGATATAATTTTTGGCTGCTTGGCTATGTCCTGGTCTTAACCTAGTGATAGAAATGATAGTGAAACTAACACTAGCGTAACCTGTAAGAAATTAACCCTAGAAATTCAGAACTAAATGGATCTCGGGAAGCCACCTGATCAAGTTTCCTTGTACATCAGGGAAGAATTCAGGAGAGCAAATGACTCATAAAGTGATGCTATGTACTATTTAGCGTTTTAGTTACGGGCAGAATATGTAATAGAACCCAGCTGCTCCACCACATAGCCTCTTGTTTATTGTGTCCTTTTATTGTATTTTTTTCTTTGCAGATTTCTCTTGTTTCATGAAGATCACTTGGTATGTTTTAGTAATATTAGTTTTTATATTTTTGCTCATCCTCATTATCCACAAAATACTTGAAGTCCATAGGCGAGTGCAGAAGTGGCAGAGTAAGTATTGAGAAATAAATCCATCATTTGGGATAATCCATTTAGTTTCAAGGAACTCTTAATCTTATCTATAGTTGTTTTTGTTTTAGTTCAATTTACCAGTTACTGAGCACCTACTTTGTGTAAGTGGCGATTCAGTAGGGAGTGGTGATAAAGAATGTTATTGTTGGAGATCTAAGTTAAGGTGATGAGTGGGAGGGGGAGCCAATCTTTAATGAGTGTGAGTGTGTCAGTTGATTTTTGGCTGGGCTGAGCTAAAATGTGGAACTGGAAATCAAGTCACTAGGGATGATATTAAAATATTTAATAACTAATAAGATGGTCACCTATCAGGGTGGACACTGAATGTTAACTATTGCCATAGCCCTACTGGTGTGTACCCATGCATATATCCATCCATATACTGGCTCTATGAGTGCGTGCCCATGAATATACTAGCTGAATGCCAGGCCTGATTGAAAGCAGTGATCTCTTAAAGACAAGAGAAAAATGTGTCAGTATGAGACTAGTTTTTGGAGGTAGGTGGATACATTAGAATCCTAGTACTACCACTCATTAGTTATGTGACTTTGAGCAAGTTGCTTACTGTATCTGAGTGTTCCTTTTTCCCTCTGTAAAACAAGGCTAGTCACCATTACCACACAGGGTTGAAGTAAGCATTGAACGAAAGAGATTACATAAGAAATTTAACACAATGTCGAGCATGGCAATGCTCAGTAAACAAGAGTAGTATTGTGCTGCTTGTATTATTTCCCAAGGCTCTTATGTTCTTTACCAGGCAAGGCTGTTAGTCATTTCAGTAGCCAAACAAATAGTTGCCTCTAGGTTTGAGTGCAAGTGCCATTAATTCTTTTGACTAAGTATTTGTTGCAGACATTTCTGAGAGCACTTTCATATCAAGTCTTGTCATTGATATCGTATATATAAGACCCCTAATGCATTGGTTAATGATCATAATATTATATATTTGTAGAATAACATTCTCACAAGATTTTCACTAGATTCTCAAAGCATGAAAACAGGGTATATGCTATTATTTTTATTTTAAAAAACAACAACTCTGAGCCTCAGGGAGGTTAAGTATTCTGTCCAGAGTTATACAACTAATAAAATGTCAGCATTAAAACTCAGGGTCTTTCTAGTTTTGAAAATTATGTTATTTTAAATAAATGTATATTATTGCAAATAGTGCTTAGTTTTGAGTTTTTTAAATCTATTTTTTCCATGTAGTAACATACTAAGAAAGAGAGATAGAAACCAGAAAGAAAATGGGTCTAGAAAGAGACGAATAGTGGGGATTGACATTGAGTTCTTATGAACATTGAGCCACATGACAGGCTTAATAGCTTTCAAAGGCTTGCTTTATAAATCCAAGCATATGCAGTAATAAAAAGTCACATCACTTAGGATACTGAATATCAAATAATAAAATATTCTGTACATGATATCTATGTATATGTAATAACATAAATAAGATAACATTCTATACACAAGAGCTGGGCTTTTCATTAGGATGATGGCATATGGCATTTATGGCAGTGGAGAAGCCACTGGTTTTAGAAAGAACTTGTATTTGTTCATGAAAATCAACATAAGGAAAAGCTCTTTATGTCTTGCCATTCCAGGCCCTGTTGTGAATGGCCCATTTCCTTGGTAATCCTTGGACTCAACATGGGGAATATATTTTAAGAATGTGCTTGGTTACCATCTAAATATTTCATTTCTTTTCTTGGAATAGGTCATAAATACAAACCTTCATCTGTTCTCTTAAGAAGTGATTCTGAGCAACTCCGAACATTGGAAATGCGGGTAATTTCAGGTGAGCTCTGTGACATGCAAACAGAACACTGCTCAGCAAATTCCAAAACTTCACCCTTTCAATATTAACTCAAGATCACGAGATCTGAGCTCGTTTAAATTAGCCTTGTATCGGGAAGAAAGAAACCTTAGGCACATGATATCTAGTTTAATATGTCTTATTATCAGGGGACAGTCACAATCAAAACCACCTCCTTAAATAATGGCAAGTTTGCTCAGTTGGCAAGAAGAAATTCATGTGGGTAGGCAGAGGAGAAAAAGCAATCAGGAATAAGTCTCAGATTTATTTTTAAATGAGACAAGATACCATTATTTCTCAGAACTGCAAGAAGTAATTGCAGAGTGGGCCTGGCTCTTGCTGGAGCCTTTATGTAGCGGAGGGTGTCATTGTGCAGAGAGCTTCTAATAGCCCCAATTAAAAAGAACCCTGTCCTCTCCCGAGAAATAGAAATGGAGTAAGAGTAAGGGAATCCTCATTAGAGCAGCAAGGGGGCTGTTAGCACAGACACCGTAGTTCCATCCCCTTCTTCAAATTGGGAAGCTTCCTTCTGAATTCAAGCTGTCAAGTCATATTAAAAAGAAAGAGGCAGACTATGACAGGGGCAAAGGCCTCTTCTTCGTCAGGGAGAAATAATATACTTGCGTCGCTGAAAACCACAGAATTACGAGTTATATAACTACATCTCCTCGTGCACAGCCAGTGAGCAGACCTCTTCGTGCTTTGTGAGACGTTACATAAGGAAACTTCATGTCTGGTGTGTAAACCGTTTTCAAAACTGAAAGGAAATTGAACAAATCCTGGGCCTGCAAAAAAGTGGGGGGGCTGCAGCTGCATCTGTAGCCACGTGGAGATTTGCACAGCATTTCACTGGGGACTATGCTCCTGAGCTTTTCTTAGCTATTTAAGTTAGCAGGTACTCCGCCCTCTAGCTTGAGGAAGAATTGGATTGGGTGCACCTAAAGAGCTCACTTTCATTTTAATTAATTAATTAATTAATTAAATATTTTACTGATTTCAGAGAGGAAGGGAGAGGGAGAGAGAGATAGAATCATCAATGATGAGAGAGAATCACTGACCGGCTGCCTCCTGCACATCTACACACTGGAGATCTAGCCCACAACCTGAGCATTTGCCCTGACCGGGAATCAAACCGTGACCTCCTGGTTCATAATTCGATGCTCAACCACTGAGCCATGTCAGCTGGGCCCAAAGAGCTCACTTAAAAAATATATACATATTTTCTAATCTCAGCCTTAGGAGTAAAATTATTAATCTACTAGAGGCCCAGTGCACGGATTCATGCACATTGAAAGGAAATTAATTAGAAGGTGGCCAGCAGGGAGGGACTGGGCGAGATGGGCTGGACACACCCTGGAGCCAACCTCCTATGGTCCCTCCCTGGCCAGCCACACCTGGGGTGGCGTGCCGGGGCTCGAAGTGTGACTGCAGAGTGAGGGGGTCCCTTTGGCAGGTGGGGTCCCTCGGCCTGGCCTGTGGGGATCAGGCTGAAACCGGCAGTCTGACATCCCCCGAGGGGTCCCAGAGTGCAAGAGGGCACTCTGCAAAGTTGCTCTCTCTTGGCAGCTCCTGTGTTGAGCGTCTGCCCCCTGGTGGTCAGTGCTCATCATAGCTACCTGCTGGTTGGCCAGTTGGCTGGTCGGCTGATTGCTTAGCCTTTTATATATATAGATGGCTAAAAATAAGCATTAGCTAAATAGTCACTGGATACTAGCTAACAGTGGGGGAAGCTGATGGAAATTTTGGGTGGTCAGTGACAGTTTTGTTTGGTTAATGAAATAAAAGTCACAGGGCTGTTTCTAAAGACAAAATTAACTTTTAAAGAGAGAAAATGGCATTTTCCCTGGTGTCCCCTCTAATCCAGCACACACACCAGACATCCACACACCAGGAATGTTTTAGCCTGGCTCTGTAGGGCTTTTGCTTGCTCTAGGGCAGGGGTGGGCAACCTTTTTGTGAGTGCATGCCAAAACCAGCAAAATCTCTGACTCAAAATTCTTCTGCGTGCCAACCCTAATTTTTTGAGAACATGTTCTCCTACTTGATAACTCTTAAGGTGTACGTACGTGAAGAACCTTGACAAATAATAAAATTCATTCGAGCGACAAAAACACAGTATATGATGATGAAGAATACATTTATTTTTTAATGTATACATGTACACTGATAGTCCGACAGAAAACTTTATGACTCCGTTTGATATTATCAGTGGGACTTTTGCTGCTGCATCACTGATGACAGAGATTTTACATCAGGTTTATATTTCGTGACCTTCAGAGATATGCATGAGCTACTACTTTCATCCGTCAGGCTACTCCTATTACGAGACTTAACAAAATTCATCACTGAGAACAAAGGTTCACAATTGTAAATGGAAGATTATAAGAGAGGGTTTCTCGTGCCAGCAGAAGTTACTGGCGTGCCATGTTTGGCACGCTTGCCAGGGGTTGCCCACTCCTGCTCTAGGGACTCCCAATCCTTTCTCTTTTCAAGTTGAAATTTTGAGCACTGCAACCAAGAAAAGTCGATAGTTGTCCTGTCAACACAGACAATGGGGAGAATCACACATTTAGAGTTCTGGCTAACCACAGGACTAACCACACGCTGTTTATGAGCCCGTGGTTTTCATTCACCAGAGAAACCTGCCTCAGCCACCCTTTCCCTTTAACAGCTCTCACTAAAAATCCTCTGGCTTTATTACCGGGTATATAATATTAATGTTTAGAGCAGGCCAAGAGATGGTGGCCTGTTTTAAAATGAGGAGTCCTTTTGAGGCTTAGCTTCTTAAAAGGGAGAAGAAGCAGATTCTTTCCTGTTATTTATATTCCTTTAACCTAAATGCAATTTTTCCTCCTCCCATTCTAAGCTGCTCTTTCTGAGAGAGAAATGGAAAGGAAATAATGTCTCCCTCGAGCGCTGTTTTTAAGGCCTCTCTTTGGAATGATGGATTATAGGCAGCAGTAAGAAAAAAAATGTGCCGGCATGGTTCTCTGGAGAAGCAGTAACACGAGCTTGAAAAAAATGTAGTTCAAAGAGAGCAGTGACTGCAGTCACTTCAGCAGAGCCTCTTGCTGTCCACTCCGGCTGTACATCCTGCAGTGTCTCTCAGTTGTTCATGACTAAGCATTGTTACACATGTGCACACAGAGTATAGATAGGCTCACACCCTCAGAAAGACAAGGAGAACCAGGAGAGCTTACCCAGACCCTGGCCCCGCACAGTGCCTGGTGCGCAGTGGGGCACAGCAAACACTGATGGGATAAATGAGTTGCTTTGCTGTAGAAAAGATGTCGCACAGAATCAAGTCCCAAGCTTTCAATTTTGTATTTTCTTCCTTGCTTTGAGAAGCACGGTGGCATATGTTGCCTCTCCTGGCATTAATCTATTTTACATTTTATTCTTTCGACTATTATCTTCACACAGATGATTCTTATCTTATTCACCTTTGGATCCTTGTCCCTAGCATAATATCTGGCATGTAGTTTATGGACAATAAAAGCTTATTAAATCACACAGACGCTAAGGGGGAATGTGTCTAGAGTTAAAAGAGCAGATGAACAAGAAATGAAGCTTGGGCATTGGGAAAGGTGAAACAAACAAAGAGACAAAAAATGATCAGAGGCAGCATAATTCTACTTCATTAAAGAACGTGTAACACACTTTATAGAATTGCTAAGGATATTAAAGAATCGTGAAAACACTGACCATTTGAAGAAGAGATTTTGAGAATTAATACAAAAGCAGCTTTGGAATATATCCCTAGACACAGTGCTTAATGAGTTGACCCCGTTGGGAAACCAAGGCCAGGGGCAGAGGCCATAGACTAGGACCCAGATCACTAGATGCAAACAATAGACACCAACTTGGCTGACTTGGCAGAAAGGAAATTGATTGGAAAACCAATGTGGAACCCACAGAAGCAGCCGGGAGGTTAGGGAATCTGAGATTGGAAAATAAAGAGGAGTTGAGAGAGGCCAGACAGCTAAAAATGCATCCAAACTCATACCACAGGAATGGGTTGGTGAGAATACCTCTGCTGGTGTGCCCACCACTGGACGTTCCCTCTGAGCTGCCAAAGCTAGCCTTCCACCACCTGGCCTTTTGCATCTCTGCCAGGATTGCCAGCCCCAAGGGGGAGTAGCTGATTGATGGAGGGTAGGCCAGGAGGCCGAGAGTGGGAATATCTGCCCTTCTGGCTTCCTGCACCCCTGAGAGTCCCCGTGAGCTATCCACATGCTGGACAGCCAATACATCTCCACAACCCCAGGTTTCTGGGATTCAAGCTCCACTTATTCCTGCTATGTGGGTCCATGAGGGGGATCATTTCAACTCCCCCTTCTATGTCCATAAAAATGCTGAAATTTTTAAACCTGAAATTCTTCACCCACAAACGTTCAACTAAAATCCATTGAACACCGACTACACACTGGGCGTTGTTAAGTGTCGACAACAGAGTGGCACGTACTACAGCACGGTCGCTGCCTTCACAGAGCCGACACCAAGGAGATTCTGGTGCCTTAGGACAGCGGTTCTCAACCTGTGGGTCGCGACCCCTTTGGGGGTCGAACGACCCTTTCACAGGGGTCGCCTAAGACCATCGGAAAACACATATATAATTACATATTGTTTTTGTGATTAATCACTATGCTTTAATTATGTTCAATTTGTAACAATGAAAATACATCCTGCATATCAGATATTTACATTACGATTCATAACAGTAGCAAACTTACAGTTATGAAGTAGCAACAAAAATAATTTTATGGTTGGGGGTCACCACAACATGAGGAACTGTATTAGAGGGTCACGGCATTCGGAAGGTTGAGAACCACTGCCTTAGGAGAAGGGGAACCAATGAAACTTTAAGAACTCAGTAAATACCTCCAATATGCACAGTTCTTTCACACACATCACTTACTTTCTTTCATAAGAACCTCACTCTTTTTTCCTGATGAGAACATTGAAGCTATGAGAGTTTAAGT